GGGCGGGGGGGGGGGCGGGGGGAGAGAGACGGGCTGCACTGCGAGCTGCAAAAGCCCGCCGCCGAGTCGTGGGGCTGCAAAGCAGCTGAGCCCGGCCGGGGAGGGACGAAGGCAGCCGATTCTCCAATGCACCTGCTGCAAACCGGATCGCGGCTGCCCCCAGCAGGGCAAACAGCCGCTGGCGCTACCCTGGGCCCGAGGGAAACCCGGGGGGCGGCAGGGGGAGCTCGACCAAGCTGGCACGTAAAGCTCTCCCGGATCAGGGAGGAGGCTCCCGCTCTGTGCACCCGCCCCCCCCTTCGGAGGCAGGAAGCCCCCTGCACGGCAGCAACAGATTCCTCGTCGCCTCCTCCCCGCCCACCCCCCGGGGCAACCAAGCAAGCAAGCGCCCTCCTCACCTTGCTCTTGACCTCGATGACGGGCTCCGGGCTGCGCGCCGGAGTGCGGTGGTGCTTAGCCATGCTGCGCCGGGGCAGGGCCGGGCTGGGCCGCCGGCGGCTGCTCTTCCCGCCCCGCCGCACTGCCTGCCGCTCCACCAGCGAGCACCGCGAGCAGCAGGCGAAGGAGGAGGAGGAGGAGGAGGGAGGGAGAGCTCACCGGCCATGACGTCACCCCCAGCAGGTTGGGGGACGCCGCGCGATTGGCGTTGGCCGGCCGAAGGGGGCGGGCTCAGAACGTCCCCGGCGCTAGGATGGAAGGTTGCTGACAACGTCGCCTAGGTAACCGCGGCCCGGGCGTTCCAAGGTGTATGGGACTGCGCGGAGATCAAAAGGAGGGCCGGCTGGGCGGCGAGGTCGCGTGCGGGTGAGCCCGTCCAAAGGTGGCGCGGGGCAGGCGTTGAAGCGGGAGCGTAGTTTTCCTCTCCTGCCGTGTTGTTTCTGTTCACGAGAACTCCGCCGTCTTTCGCTTCCAGAATTCACCGACGGCAGTGCCGTCCTGCCTGTTCAGCCTGCGGACTCCGGATGCAAAGCGTTCGGGAGGGACGCACTAAGCTTCGTGGTCATCCCGGAGAAATAAAGGGAAACGCCAGGGTGTGGGCGGCAACCTTTGGGCTCCAGTTCAGTTTCAGTGCCGGGGGTGGGGGTGGAGGCGGCGGAAGAGAGGTTGGGGCGCCTTGCGGGGTGGGGGTGGGGCTCCCCCAGCTCTTGTTAGGGGCTCTTTAAAAAGTTATGGCCCTCGTTGGTCTCAGCGGCAGCTGGAATGTATGCGGGGGGCGGGGCGAAATATTTCCCAGCCTCCCTGAGCCCAGGGGTAGTGGCCTTGGACTCGTTTGGGCAAATTCCACCTCTCGAGTGTGATGTCATTCTGGCTCCCCTAGCTCTCGTTAGGGGCTCTTTAAAAAGTTATGGCCACGTTGCTGTCTGCAGAAGGGGGGGAGGATGTTTCCCGGACTCCCTGGGTGGTAGCCTTGGAATTCCACCTCTCCTGTGTGATGAGGTCATCCTGGCTCTCCCAGCTCTGGTTAGGGGCTCTTCAAAAAGTTATGGCCTCTCTCTGCGGCAGCAGCTTCGTGCTGGGGTGAAGTGTTTCCCGGCCTCCCTGAGCCCCGGGGTGGTGGCCTTGGACTCGTAGGGGCAAATTCCACCTCTCGCGCATGATGTCTGAGCATTGCCGCTCAGACATCACACGCGAGAGGTCATTCTGGCTCCCCCAGCTCTCGTTAGGGGCTCTTTAAAAAGTTATGGCCGCCATTGCTCTCCGCGGCAGCTGGGATGGCGGGGCGAAATGTTTCCCGGCCTCCCTGAGCCCCGGGGTGGTGGCCTTGGACTTGTAGGGGCAAATTCCACCTCTCCCGAGGTCATTCTGGCTCTCCCAGCTCTCGTTAGGGGCTCCTTAAAAAGTTATGGCTGCTGCCAATGTCTCTGTGGACTGCCTGTCAGTGAAGAAGGGTTCGCCTGGCCCTCTTTCTGGACACTGAGCTCTGCATGGGCTACAAACAATGTGCATGGGCTACAAACAATGTACAAGGCTAGGAACAGTGGACTCCTTAAGGGAAACGGGGAAATGCTAGTCAGGTTAACAGTAGTGGTAGCCCTAGCCTTTTCCATTTAAAAAATCCAGATTTTGAATAAACACTGAATGTTTGAGGAAAAAGACGTTATTCACTAAGTAGACTTTTTTCATAAATTGATAACGTGTGCCTTTAAATATACTGTGTTGAGTTTCTGGATAACTTTGAAATTAACAGGGGGAGTGGAAAGTGATTTTTGTCAGTTCTGAGAGCTAAGAATTTATGGAAGGAAGGAAGGAAACGAAAGCTCTTGATATGGTGAAGAAACAACTAGATTCTGTGTTAGATTAGGGGCCATGCCGTATGACACACTGTTTTGAACATAAAGGAACCTGAAGATGAAGGAATGATGGAGTTTTCTAAATTATTTTAAGTACTCGTATGATGGAGTGGTGTGGGCTGAAGTGCTTTTGATGAATTTATAAAGGCAGACGTGCACAGTTTTTTAAAGAACAGAATGAACCTTGCAGATTAGTAGTAAAGATTTTGTGAGTTCTGTTCTTTGGTGTCTGCAACTGTTTTCTATGGGCAGTGTAGATTGCTACAGTAGCATCGACTCTTTGTGTTGTTTGACTCAACAGAGTTTTGCTCCAGTATCTATTTTTTAGTATTCAGCTCTGGGAGAGCCAGTGTTGTGTAATGGTTGGAGCAGCAGTGTCAAACTCAGTTGTTAAAGAGGGCAGGACCTGACATCAATGTTCCCTCTAAGCTGTGGAGTCCTGTGAGCAAAAATTTACTTTGTGAGCTCCTAGCATTAAAGTTGTGAGGGAGCGATTTGGCTCCTGCATAAATCAGTCTGCTCTGGAGCCATCCTTCCTGAGCTAGGGCAAAAATGTGTGAGCCGGAGGCTAAAAAACTGTGAGCTAGCTCACACTAACTCAGCTTAGAGGGAACACTGCCTGACATAAATGTCTCTTTGTTGCCATAAAATCTAAGGCCAGGTACAGGGAGATATAGACTTTATAAAGGACACAGACCTAATTAACATTTATTTTTCCTCAAATACAAGCATGCTTAAAACATTAACACTCTTACAGTTCCAGGTGGTCAGCCGTGTTGGTCTGAGGCAGTAGAACTAATTTAGAGTCCAGTAGCACCTTTAAGGGAGCTGCGGTGGCTCAAGTGGTTAAGACGCTGAACTGCAGGCTGTGGAAGATCAGTAGTTCAGCAGTTCGAGACCCGGGTTGCCGCATGATGGAGTGAGCTCCCGTCTCTAGTTCCAGCTCCTGCCAACCTAGCAGTTCGAAAGCAAGAAATTGCCAGTAGATAAATAGGTATCACTTCGGTGGGAAGGTAACAGCGTTCCGTGCGCCTTGGTGTTTACTCATGCCGGCCACATGACCACGGAAACGTCTTCGGACAGCGCTGGCTCTTCAGCTTTGAAACGGAGATGAGCACAGCAACCCTAGAGTCGGACTCGACTGGCTTTCGAGCAAGGGTACCTTTACCTTTACCTTTTTAGCACCTTTAAGACCAACAAAGGTTTATTCAAAGTATGAGCTTTCGTGTGCATTGGAATGGAAGGTAAGAGCTAAAATTTATAGACAGAGGCTGAACAGCAAATTAACATGTAAAATGATGATGTTTTAAGGTATGCGAAGATAAAACTAAATAAGAAGCTCAGGTTATAAGGTCAATGGTTGTTTTGATTTAATTAAGGGGAGAAGCAGTAAAGTGACAAATATGTCAAAACAGGAGATAAATGTGTCAAGGTATCTTTTCTAATTGTGGGAAGTAAACAGAGACTCTCCATTCGTCTCCTCTCAGACATGGAGGTAACTTGACAGCATTTTTTGCTTGAGGTGGGTGCAGTGTTCTATAAACAAAACATTCCAATATTCCCCGCATTATATTCATTACATTCTTACAGTATTTCCTTAAAGTATCTCCCTGATGCCCACCCTCCCACTCCAGCCACCCATTACTCATTAGCACTGAGACAGTATACAGGGACCTAATGCACAGCCTCTGTCGTCCAAAATGAAATAAACAAGAAACACAGAAACACATAAACAATAAACACAGAAACACACGTCCAAAATGAAATAAACAAGAAACACAGTGTAAGAGCTAAGTACACAAACACACCACTGTGTAAAAAGGCTTTGCCAAACAACAGTCAATCTTATTGCACCATTCAATAAATGTATGGTATATAAAAAAAGACTTGTTTATTACTTCTTCAAAAAGGCAGCTAACCAGCTCAGTAAATGTACAACGTTGGGACTAACCATCAACCAACCATATAGTATGAAAACGTCATACAAAAAGCAGCCAATCAGCTCAGCAGCAATTATACACCTAGCCTTGAAGTCTGACAGTCTTGGCTCTGCTGTGCAACTCTGCAACTAGAGACCCGGCAGACTGGGGAGCTCTGCAGCTACAAACCTGGCAAACTTGAGAACTCTGCAGCTAGAAACCCAGCAAACTTTGGGGGGGGGTCAACAGTGGGAGGGCTTCTAGTGTCCTGGCCCCACTGCTGGACCTCCTGATGGCACCTGGTATTTTTGGCCACTGTGTGACAGAGTGTTGGACTGGATGGGCCATTGGCCTGATCCAGCATTGGCTTCTCTTACGTTCTTATGTTCTCGGGCATGGAAGTGACTTAATAGCATTTTTTTTCTTTTTCGAGGTGGTTTTCTGCATCTGTTAGAACCCATCAGGATACAGTGGGACTGCTGTTCCTTTCCCCCCATTCTTTTTGGCAGCCCCTCCCTTCTTTGCACCCCCCCCTCTTCTCATTCCACTCATTTACTATTTATTTCATTTATACCCTGCCTTTCTCCCCAGCAACTTACATTTGTTCTCTTCTCCATTTTATCCTCACATCAACCCTGTGAGGTAGGTTGGGCTGAGAGTATGAGTGGCCGAAAGTAACCCAGCAAGCTTCCGTGGCAGAGTGTGAATTTGAACCTGGGTCTCCCAGACCCCAGCCTGACACTCTAACCACTACACCACACAGGCACTCGGGAGCAGAGTTTCAAAATGGGTGGCAGAGATTAGCTCAACCCCAAACTCGTGCCTGAGAGGCGGATGAACAGCATTTGCCAGAGTTAGGCATGAGGGCCACCGTATGGCAGTGGGAAGTGTCGGATTCAGATGTGTCAAACCCCCTCAATGAGAGCGAGGCCTTATTGCAGGGGCAGATTAACCGTGAAGCAGACTAAGCACATGCTTAAGGCACCAGGGACAAAGGGGGCACCACAAAGTTGGGGAAAGGGTGAAAAGAGGGGGAGAAAAAGAATGAAGATTTGTAAAAAAAAAAATTGATAGTGCACATTGATCATGGTGCACCCTAGGGTTATCGTCTATTTTTTGTTGGCGAGGTGCAGGGTCATAGGCTAGGACACCATGATTGGGGGCACCAAGATTGGTCAGTGCTTAGGGCACCAGTGAGCCTTAATCTGCCCGTGCAGGGAAATTCGCTGGATGACCTTGAGCCAGTCAGTCTTGCAACATCATCCCTCCCCCTCTTTATGCTTCCACGGCTACAA